CATAGACTTTAGGCATTACTGGAGTGAGTTATAGTGAGTGGAACACTACATAGATTCTAGGCATTACTGAAGTGAGTTATAGTGAGTGGAACACTACATGAATTCTAGGCATTACTGAAGTGAGTTATAGTGAGTGGAACACTACATAGATTCTCGGCATTACTGGAGTGAGTTATAGTGAGTGCAATACTACATAGATTCTAGGCATCACTGGATTGAGTTATAGTGAGTGGAACACTACATAGACTTTAAGCATTACTGGAGTGAGTTATAGTGAGTGGAAAACTACACTGATTCTAGGTATTACTGGAGTGAGTTATAGTGAGTGGAACACTACATAGATTCTAGGCATAACTGGAGTGAGTTATAGTGAGTGGAGCACAACATAGATTCTAGGCATTACTGGAGTGAGTTATAGTGAGTGGAACACTACATAGAATATAGGCATTACTGGGATGAGTTATAGTGAGTGGAATACTACATAGATTCTAGGCATCACTGGAGTGAGTTGAACACTACATAGATTCTAGGCATTACTGAAGTGAGTTACAGTGAGTGGAACACTACATAGATTCTAGGCATCACTGGAGTGAGTTGAACACTACATAGATTCAAGCCATTACTGAAGTGAGTTGAACACTACATAGATTCTAGGCATTACTGAAGTGAGTTATAGTGAGTGGAACACTACATAGATTCTAGGCATCACTGGAGTGAGTGGAACACTACATAGATTCTAGGCATTTGTAGCTAAACTTAGTATTAGCACTGCAATATTAAAGTCCTCAATTTGATGTCATAGAGGTCATAATCAATATTTTTCCTAAAAATACAAGTATCGATGTCATTAAAAATTCAGAAACAGTTGTACATGGCAGACATGCAGGTGCAATATGAAGAATTGCTAGGACAACAGTACCCACAGAAAGTACCAATATTTGTGATATTTAGGAATCAAGGCCCAATTAAGAACTTTCATGTGACAAATATAATACTACAAACACTATAAAACTATGTAGTTAAGAAAGTACTGTGTAGCATATTTACTATTGTTTAACCTTTTTTTCTTCCTACAAACTATCTCAGTGTGAGGATATTCCCAACAGCATGCCAGATTTCATTATCATATACTGTGAGGCTGTAGCTGCTTTATTGATGGTGTACCGACATGAAGATGTCTGCCTTGTGGCTCAAGAACTAATCTCAAAGTCAACATCATCAGACGATAATGGAAGATTACTGATAATTAACCAGTTTTCTTCACCTTCATTGTTGGTATCATTCAGCGATGAAACACTGAATGTTTCAAAAAATACACTACTTGATGAAACTTTTGATGAACCCATGGAAAGTACATCTAGAAAGCGATTACGAAGTGATGACAAGGAAATGCATCGATCTTGCCAAAGTTCTGATGAGGAGAAACTACTGCATGTTGCCATAGTTTTAATGATGCAGGCCGAGTCATTGGTGGAAATGAATCAAAGCAGTGATGCCTTGGAATGCTTAGATCATGTCTGTCAGCTGTTGGGAGACGTGATGCCAATTATAGAAGAACAACTTGATGATGGTGTGGGGATAAAAAGAAGAAGAATTAACACAGGTTAGGATTTCTATTCATCTAGTCATTGTGTTTCTTCACAGGTGAATATAACTTCCAACATCTTGCTTGATTTGGCAAATGAGCTAGTCACATGTCATGTTCTTTAAGTACTGGTACATGTATCACAAATTGATCTAATCGATAAGTCAAAATTATGTTTACAAAGCAAAAATCTAAAAAAACAACATTACTTCCGTAAATTAATCAAATTAGTTTATTTATATTATCATTCAAACAATGTCAATTACCTAAAATGAGGCTTAGCTTAATAGTTGAAATAATCAAGAAATAAATACCTTCTCAATGATTGACAGATGGTATTTACCCATGAAGCTTTACATGTGTCGTCTGTGTGTTCAACAGTAAAGCACCTCAGAAAACACTCAATGAATCAAAAAATTGCAGTTGCTGGACATCAATATTCTCAGGAATTTATTTCTATTTCTGTGGTATTGTTTATAAAAATATTGGGTGATTGATTAGAGTTTTATAATTGGTGATGTACATTCACAGCCTAAAACTAGACTAAGTGCAAATTCTCCTTTAAGGTTGTATGCGCGGAAATGCACTGCGCATACGTTCTGCGCATTGGAAGCAGACTTTCAAGATGGCTGCCACAACAAACAAGTACGCTTCGCGATCGCCGAATGCACGCAAATTTAAAGGATTTTTGACCGAGAAAGAGAAGAGAAGAAGATTGGCAGTTATCCAGGCGAACCGCCAACATAAGAAAGTTGCTGAAGTAGTTTTAGAATCAAATTCAGGTACGTATGTACGGTGTCAGTATACGACGTAAACTTTGGT